TGTAGACATATTCTAACCTACGCAGATTGTATTGCACCACAAGATTCAGAAATAGCTACTTTGAGGGAGGCCCCAAAACATTCGCCAGCAATTTTGACGATGCCGAATGATGCAAATCTCAGCAGGATCCCAGCTGAAGCCCGGTCACTGTTGGACTATTATTCCAGTCACATCATCTATATAATGACAATGTCTCCTGGAAAGAAGCCTCCATGGAAGATTATTCATCTACCATGTGCCATGGGTGCACTTGCAGAATTAATGGTTTATGGTGAAGCAAGCAGTTCAGCCAAAATGGCCCTGTTCTATGCCTTGCTTTCCATCAGTTCCTTTCATGTTGGCTTGGCTGAGAAAAACTCGTTAGAGAGATCGCATTATTGGTACGAAAAGGGCATCTCACACAAGGCAAAGTCAGAGGTCTATTTGAGATCGTCCTTGGACCAAACACTGCCGAAGTCTTCCAGGGGGAAATACAAGGAGGTGTTGATGAGTCTGCTAAGTATGGTTACGATTGGGGTAAGTTAAACTCCGCTTTAACAACATATCGCTAATTCGCAAGCAGGTATTCAGCGGCAACATGGAAGACTCTAATAAATATCTTGCCGAGAGTGAGAAGCTGATCCGAAACCAAGGATTGTCTAAGCCGGTGAAGTCTCAGAAAGTCTCGAAGCTGCATCGCATCTTCTCTTATCTTAGAATCATTGAAGAGAGCACAACACTTGAGCCACTAGAAGCTTCCAACCAAGACGAAATCCGTAACCAAGTTTCCACTGGGCTGGAATCATCTCGAAGTGATCTAAGTGTTCCTGAAGATGAGCGGCAGATAGTCAGTTCTAGACTTAACTGGCTGGAAGACGACGAGTCAGATGAGGACTCGCTTTTCGTATCTATTTACCAGATACCGACGACGCTCTTCATGTTACTTTCTCAGACCTCTTCGCTTTGTAAAGATCTTTCATCTTTAAAGGTCTCGACTCCAGAGTTCATTCGCAGAAGTCGGATTACGGAAGATCGCATTTTCAACTGGCAGCCACCGGAGAACTTAGCTTTTAAAGACAATATACGATACTTCAAGGATAAAAAGGCGAACTCGTTAAGTTGCCAAAACTCTTCTGCCATTTTTGCACATATTGTGGCAGCAATGCATCTTGCGTTAATAATACATTTTCAGCGAAAAGTACGAAAAACGGATCCCCGTGTTCTTCAACACTACATCATAGACGCAGCAGATCATCTTGTGATGCACGAGAAGCTCAAAAGAGCCCTGAAAGTACGCACTACCGCTTTTCCATGGCCATCATTCATCTTAGGATGCGAAGCGTACGACTTGACCGCTAGGCAGAAGGTCCGAGAATACCTTGTACTTGTCCGAGATTACAATATGGGCAGCCTCATGGAAGTCGAGAGAGTTATAAACGAAGTCTGGAGGCGTCAGGACCTCGGTCGAACGGACATGTGTTGGGGCCATGTATTGAGAGACTGGGGACTGCGAATTGTCTTGACCTAGACTCAGAATTGCATGCTTTAAATGTCTCAACTAATCTCACATAATCATAATACTTCAAGCTGAGGCCAAGAAGGTTAAACTACAACCAACCTTCGTTATTCACCAATTCCTGTTTCAAGGGCTCTTCATAGAATGAGTTTCATGACCGTTCCTAACCTTGAAATGGCAAGTCCAGACTTTTTGTTGCACGTCGCTTACCCTAGGGGTCTCCCCAATGTAGCTTTGTTTATTACCAGAAACATGACCAAAATCGAGCTCCAGGGTAGCTCTAGGGCAAAAAAAGTCGAGGGGGCTAGAGTGAATTTCCGCGTATAGTAGGCAATTGCCGACTCAGGCTATTTGGTCCGGGACTGAAAAATGAATTGATAATTGATGTTTCAAGCCGAATAGGAGATATTTAATATTACAAGAACTTTAAAGCCGAGTAGAGAACTGAAAATATAGTTTTCCGCATAGCTGTGCTGTACGTTGTGCGCAATTCGAAAGTAGCACAAATATCTTTCTACACCGATGTGACTATATAGAGCTTTATATCATGCCTTAAGCTTCACCGGTGCTTAGCTGATGCAACGGCAAACTGATCAGCCTGGCAGCCCCGGAGGCTCCCTAACCAGCTTTTCAGGGGTTTCTTCGCTAATTTGAGACGCTAAAAATCATTCACCACGCTCCAGGTAGGTATAGATTTACAGCACTGATCTCAAACCCGCATGTCTGAACTGGAATTCCGACCAATATTTCAGGGATCAATCGACTCAGGTAATCAAATCCCGTCTCTCCTCCAGAAACTTTTGTACGGCTTCAACAAAGGTCTGCAGTTCCGCCTTCGAAGTCACCGTCATCAAGCTGATCATACCTCGCTGTGCTAGAAAAAAGCCCCTTCGGAGCATATCGAAAAGGAACAGTTCACGCAATTCCGCTACACTCCCTTGTACATCTGCAGCTGATCGGATGGCTTGGGTGCTGAAATGGAGGGTCATGAGACTTCCGACCCCAGTTACCTATAAAATGGTGCCGGCTGCTACTCTCCTGAGCTCGTTCTGCAGCCATTCTCCAGTCTCATACAGTTGAGAAGCTACGTCTTTTGTCCACACATCTTGGAGCACCGCTACTCCGGCTGCCATTGTAGTAACATTGTTGTTGTAAGTGCCGCTATGGTATGCTCCACCGGGATGACCGGGCTCGATTATACTCTTAACAGGTCAACATTATGAACATGAACGAGCAGCTATGAACAAGGGCAGAAAAGGGGGTTTGAGGCTTGAACCTGTAAAGAATTCCATGGGCATGTATCTCAAGTGGAGTAATATGAAGGACTTTGACTGACCATTATCTCATTCCTTCCACCAAAGGCGCCAAAATTCTGTCCACCGCCACCGAAATATTTTCCCAGAGTAGTCATGTCTGGATATACTCCGAGCAAACTCTGGAGGCCTCCAGTGGACATTCGACTTGTCATGACCTCATCGAACATCAAAACAGCGCCCGCCTCGTTGGCTTTCGCTCTGGTAGCTTTGACAAACTCGATATCGGCTGGAAGACACCCAGATGACCCTTGCATAAGCTCCAGGAAAATACATGCCAGGTCATCTTTGTGCTCTTCCACGATCTCTTCAAGAGCTTTGATATCATTATAAGGTGCAATGATAAACTTATGTGGCACGTTCATACTATTTGCCGTTACCTTTCCATCTTTCCCAAAGGTAGCAAGACCTCCATGGTAGCCACCTTTGAAAACGATAACTGTTTCTCGTTTCGTGTAGGCCTTAACCAGCGCGAGTGCAGTCAAATTAGCTTCAGTCCCAGAATTCGAGAAGCGAATCTTGTCGATGCTGGAGAATCTAGAGCAGAGTAGCTGAGCGAGCCGTCCTTCGAACTGATTCACCCCTCCTAGAGCAAATCCGCTGTCGATAGCAGCATGCATTGCTTTGGTGATGACTGGATGGGAATGACCAAACATTCCTGCGCTATATTCGCCGCATAGATCAAGGTATCTGTGGCCATCCAGGTCTTTCAGATAGGAGCCTTGCCCCGATGTTAGGGTCACTGGAAAGGGCTCAAAGTGGACTACATTTCGAGTCGTGCCTTGAACGTGTCAATTGGAAGATTAGTTGCAATTGTGCAGGACTTACCTCCTGGTAGTGTTACTATGGATTCTTTGTGTGTTTGGGAACTTTTTGGGTTGCTTTTGCCATAGGTTGCATGAGCCGTGGTAAGTGCAGCTCCTATCTGCTCTATCTTCGACGTGATTGGGACCATTTCAAATTGAACAATATCGGGTTTCTCTTGCAGATATTCAAATGCCTGGGAGATAGGCTATGCTTAAAGGTCTTGGATTGGTTTGAGCGAGCGAGTTGGCGTCCTCTAAAACCAAGGAGTTCACTCGAAAGGTGGGGCTTATCTTTCAATGCAGAATGTCATGGAGAGGCAGCTCGAAAGTTGTATAATATAAGGAAAGAGATCCCGATCGTATCTTAGCACAGTACTTTGTTGCAACTACTGATATCGGGGAAGATCCCGAGTTCGAGGAAAGACTAATAAGTCATTCTCATCCTGCGTTCTACGATTACCTCACTATTTGTCGGCCTCTCAATATGGTTACAATTTCTAAGCCAACTTTACGACGTATCCCAGTGGACGCTCCCATAGAAGAGTTTATTGAAGCTATAAAAAGGGACGGCGGCTGTATCTGTACGAACTATGCCACAATAGAAGATGTTGCTGCCGCAAATGCAGAGGTGAAACCTTTCTTAGATGCTGATAAACCGTGGCAAGTAAGTCTTGATCGAGGTCTTACTTATCTTCCAACTGATTACAGAGCATAGGGGAAACTCTTCCCACCAGAGACTCGACGTTGTAATCGGCTTCTATGGAGAAGCCCTACATGTCGAGAGAAGTTCTTTATGCATCCTCTTTATCAGGTATATGCCTTCGAGGATAAAGGTCGAGGAACTCGTCATTAACCATTACTAGGAACTAGGAGAGTATTTCCTCTCTTCTACAGACCCAACCTGGTACGACGAGAAGTGTACCTACTACACCTCACATCCCCTTCTCTCGGCTGCTCTCGGCATCGATGTCCGCCCCAAGGCTGTCGGACAACGTCTACACCGCGACGACAAAATGTATCACACTCGACACACCGATGCTACTCACACAGGATGGACAGTAGGCCGAGATGATGGATTTGGTCTCTTTGTCCCCGGCATCAAAACCACAGTCGAAAACGGCGCCACGCGTATGATTCCTGGCTCCCACCTTTGGGGTGACGATAGAGGGGCCAACTCCAACGACGCCATCTATGCTGAAATGGAAGTTGGGGAAGCAGCATTCATGCTAGCTTCTACATATCATGGTGGCAGTACTAATAATTCGAAGGACGAGAACAGAATGCTGTTGGCAATGTTCATGTGCAAGGGAACTTTGAGGCAGGAGTTCGCGACTTTGCTCGAGTATCCCCCAGAGGTAGCAAAAGGTTTCTCCAAGGAGTGCCAGGCGAGGTTGGGCTATATGATCAGCAGTCCTAACTGTGGAATGGTTGATATGAGATCACCGGATTTCTTGCTGCAGGATGATTTTGATGAAGTGCCTCCCAACGTAGATGTAGATGCTGCCGAATGAAGAAACCCGGTTGGGCCTATTGGGATACGAATATGGTGTTGCAAGTTTTTTCTAGGTGCCGAATATGATCAGCACAGTTCAACGAAATCCGGGGATGTGATGCGACGATCTGCCTCCCACTTTGAACTCTTAAATTCTGATAAGAGCTTCCCCCGCCCCGCCCCCATCTTTGGAGGATCTTAAGATAAAGCTCCCCGCATCGTTAGGTGCATCTGCAAGCAAGAGCTGTGTCGAATTCATGAGCTGCAGGAATGCATTAGTGGCCTCGGTTTCGGCAACCATGACTTATCCCATTCTTGAAGCTCGACTCTACATTGCCACCTCGATATTGGGCTACATTGCCACAGCCAACACAAGCGGAAGGTTTTTGCGATAGGGTAGAATCGACACATTCGGTAAGGCCATCCAGTGATAGATACTCCAGTGAGCTTAAAGTCAAAGATGGGATAATTAGATTGTAAGATTATCTTGGCATAGGTAGTGTCGCAAAGCTAACATTAGAAGGAAAGCACAAGGCTAGATGACTCTTCACTCTGCTTTGATATTTAGTTGGAATTTATATCTTCTGTTTATTTAATTGTTATTTCAGAATTTCACTTCTCTCAAATATCAGATATTTCGAAATGGTGAGCACGAAGAAAGCAAACGTGCTCCTTCTCGGAGGAGGTGCTGTTGGAGCAATTGCTGCCTTGAACATCGAGGCAGGAGGATTGGGGTCTGTGACTGCGGTGTTGAGATCGAATTTCAAAGTTGTGGAGAAAGAGGGATATACGATCGAGTCTGTTGATCACGGGAATTTCAAAGGATGGAGGCCGACCAAAGGTGTGCACAGTTTGTGACATCTTTGATTGAGCCGCAAGCTTTAACGGAGAATAACTGAAAGCTAATTGGAATCTGGCAGTTGTAAATTCCGTCCCAGATGTAGAGAGAGAATCTCTACCTCCCTTTGACTACATCGTCACAACTACCAAGAACTGTCCCGACATCCCGCCCTCCCTCGTCTCCCTCATCGCCCCAGCAGTAACTCCCGGTCACACGACCATAGTAATGATCCAAAATGGTCTGAACATCGAAGCCCCCCTCTTTGCCGCATTCCCCACCAACATGGTCCTGTCCGGCGTCTCCATGATCGATTCTCACGAAGGTGTTCCCGGGACCATCCACCACGAGTTTGCAGACGATTTGTTACTAGGCACATTCCATAACCCGTCTCTCAAAGACCCAGAACGAGAAATCGCTACCGCAAAAGAGTTTATCAAGATCTATGGCAATGCTGGGAAAACAAACGTGAGGCTCAATGACAATGTGCCATATTCTCGATGGAGAAAACTGATCTTCAACGCGGTGCTGAATCCGCTTTGTGCTATCCTGGGACTGGATGACGCTAGAATTAGGCTAGCAGGAGGTGCTGTTGAAGGTTTAGTGAGGCCGGCTATGAAAGAGGTATTTGAGACTGCGAAGCGGCTGGGGCATGAACTCGATGAGGGGATTATGGATACAATGATTAATTGTGATCCCATGGATTTATATTTGAAGCCTAGTATGCAGGTTGATTGGGAGAAGGTAAGTCTTGCCGAGTTTGTAGATGTTTGAGAAGTGTACTGATTGTTTTGAACAGGGGAACTATATCGAGTTTGAGTACCTAGTGGGTGAGCCCTTGAGAGAGGCGGAGAAGATTGGCGTGCCTACTCCGAATTTGAAGGTCATTTATGAGATATGTAAAGCGTTGCAATGGAGGACGAAGGAGGCCAGAGGGTTGGTGACTGTGCCGCCGAAGAGGGTGTTGTAAGAATCGAAAACTGGAATTATGGAACATGAAGCTGAAAGTCGAATCGAAATTCTCTTTCCCTAAGTTGTCCGAGAGGGAAGTGCCAGCGCTGTTTGTAGCAAGAGGTAAAACTTCCCACCGAGACCGCCTCTATACCCATATCCCCTCCACCGATTCAATCTCCCTCAAGCCGGACTTCTTCCGTATCTGCTACATATATCAAAATGAGCAATTCTCAACCAAATCAAGCACAACAGGCAACCACTTGGCTAAGTCGTCTAGATCAAATTGTGCTTGGTGTGTGGATCGATTGGGTCTTCACGCCAATTCCCTGGCAGGGTGACCCACTGCCTCGAATAAAAAACCAACCTCAACTCCACCGGGAGTCGGGCTTCGTTTCTTCTTTAATCGAAACAGTTCCTGGGGAGCTGTTAGTAGAAGTTTTGCAATTTTTAGTAACGAACCTTTAATGCTTTATTTTTGCAATCTTCTTAATTTGTGTCTTGCCGTCATGTTTCGTAAGCGAGCCGGAAAAGGGGACGGTGAATTGGGATCTTTTATGGTATCCCGAGGTACGTGTAGCAACAATTGTATTGAATTAGTAATTAATGCATAACATAGCTATGTAGACACGTTTAACTAATGACTTTGAACAAATTGATATTTTTTCCTGGTAGAGGTCTAAAAATCCCAATGACTGTTTCCGACACATCACGTTAAGCACAGCCCCTAACTCTCACCTCAATTAAGACATTATGACAACCCATTGCCCTTCGTCTAGTACCTCCTCAAGAAGGGTACACAGTCATACGCCCTCCCTAACTGATTCTAGCCCAAGACCTCCCGACCACGATCCACTTATGCCACCAACACACGTAACCAAAAATCACCTGACAAGATTTAGCGTGTATTCTTCTTATTTATAGCATGTGGGTAAGCTGCCAGAGGGTGATTTCCCGTGGGCTTTCCCAGAGGTCTGGATCTCCCTTTACCATGGCCCAGACCCCGTCCAGAGGTGCGGTACGATATTGCTGTATATGAGGAGCGCATAGGCTAAATGTATGGAATACCTAGGTAGGAAGGTGGGATGTAGCTGTGCAGCCTATTTAGCGAGGCCCCTTTTGTTAGCACAAAACACCTACCGTAGTACCATACACGGGAGGAGGATGCTTAGGAATGCTGATATGCTAGTATGTTGATCAAACGTTTGTGTAGTATGGGATTAATTGTGAGTGTATGTAAATGCGACGTATATGATTGCATTTCCTATCTGATGTGCCAATGCCAGCTTAGCACCGTTCTATGCCACTACCCAATGCCGCCTGTTCGCTGATGCTATCCCTTTGTCCATGCAATGCAAATGCCCGCCCAAAAATCATTAAAAATGCAAATAAATATCAGAATAACTTTTCATGATCGCTTGACGCCTTTCGTCACCAAGTTGGCGTGACCAAGTCGATGCTCTTAGGACGATGCCCGTAACCACCTGGCCCGCTCCTGGGAGGTAGAGGGCGATCCCTACCCATACCGCCTGGCTGTCCATATGTGCTCTGGCTCTTGCCGTAATTATATAGGTCTTCTCTGCTCTTCCCACCACTAGACACATAACTAGTTTGCACAGCGCCATAGCTCTGGCTCACGGTGTAGCCTCCATTATAACTGTTCCCTGGCGTTGCAGATGGGGTTGGAGTCGTGGTCTTGCTAGTAGAAGTGAACGGCATGTAATTCCAGACGCCGGACCCCGTTCGACTGATGCTACTTGCGCTGCTCTTGGGTGGCGATTCAGGATCGCTGTGTTTAGAGCTCGTGCGCGGAAGTGCGGTGGCTAGTTCCCGGAGACTGGCGAGTGCTGTGCTTGATTGTGAATCTTTGTAGTCTTTTGTTCGTGGTAGAGATGAAGTATAGGTGGGGGGAGCTTGGTAGGACGCGGGGTATGGGTCGGAATTGAAGTAGGAGCGTGGACGGGATTGCGTGGGGGGAGAATTTCGGGACAATATCAGGCCCATCATCGGGAATCGAAGTTGGAAGACTGGAAAAGTGTCTTGTGTAGGGCGTCAGAGGTGGAGATGAGGGTGCGTATGCAGAGGGCGAGTAAGCATCCGAGTGGGACGGGGCGGGGTTTTGATCGTGAAGTCGGCAACTATTGATATGGGGTCAATTTGACTGTTGCAGAAAAAGGCACGAGGTGACTGGTAGAGAGGAGCTCATCACTTACGCTTCGGAACAATATAGGAAAGTGTTGTTGACCGGTAAGAATTGCTTTTCGCAGTTCATGCTGTATTATTCGTCAGCTCTGCATCAAGCAAGGTTAAGATATGCACCCCACACGCGCCATGGTCATGGTCATGAGGACTTTCTCCTTGCATGGCTGTACTCCGTATAGTACCTGGAGAACCCAGCCGTCTCACCCACACCAACTGGAAGGAATGAGGAAAAAGAAAGCAACATACCAGAACTGCGGGAACGACTCCCCGCTATCTCGGCCACCTTCTTCACCGTCCCTGGCACTGGTGCTACCTCGTCCTCCGCTCCATCCGGGTCCGACTTTGGTCACGTACTGCGGGGTTGTCCTCCTGCTCAGGCTTGTTGGTCTAGAGGCCTTTTTCTCTGTAGCAACGTGCTCTTTTCCAGACTTTCGCCGATGGTGATGCGACCTTTTCGGCGACAATGGGGGTGAGGCTGCGGCCGTTGCCGAGTGAGTGGTACGGACCGGTGGGGGGCGTGAGTGAGCCAGTTTGGCGGCTTGGTTCGAATTCTTAGATCCTTCTCGAACTGCGGTACGTACGGTGTTCTTTTCGCACGATCAGGAGGAAGAATTGGATTGAGAGATGGATGGTTTGGAATTGGATAACCACAGAAGAAGCTGGGAGGAATGATGGGATAGATGTCGAGTCGTATACCACTTGGACTGTACGAGTTGGTCTTGTGGCTGTAAGCGGCGCTCGTGACAGTTTCGGGCTGATGTGATAGCTGATATAAGAAGAGGATTTTGGTTGAATGGCTTGCGTGGTTGCTTAATAAAGATGCGATGCGAGGCGAGGCCCTGTGATGACTCTTCTTGATTATTCTGTATGGGTCGAGCGAAGTGATGCGATAACGGAGGGGTTCTTGAATATAAGCAAAGGGAATAAATAGTGATACGTCAAGCAGAGCGGTGGACGACTTTCTTATATTGATGAGCCGAAAGACGGAGGGGATGACAAGGGGAGATTATCGACGGATTGGCCTGTGCGTAGGTATGAAAAGATGAATGGAGGCGTTGGTTGGTTACAGTACATCTATCGTTATCTGGGCTTCTACAGTACAGTACAGTCGCTTGGCGTGGTTCTAGAGCCAAGCCAAGGTACCAGACCAGGTGAAAGGGAAAATGAGTATAAATAAAGGATAGAGGCGTGAAGCGGGGGAGAATAGAGGTGAGAGGGGATGTTTAAATTGATAACGGGTATGGTGCAATGTTCTGCTGATGAGTTGCAGATTTTGACACAGTCGATGGCGCAATGAGGTGAACGATGCAATAGTCTCCGAGAATTACAACACTGGCAGCTGCGTGTTATATTATACTCGAATTGCATCATGGCGTGCACTTCACTTTACTACTATTACTTATAGCCGTGCACCATCACTATTCCCCTCTACCTACCAATCCCCCCATGCCCCTCCCCTCCCATCCCATCTGACTGTCTCGGCCATTCAGAGTTGATCACATACTCCGCGCACGCAGACTCGCAGCAGTGACACGTTCTGCCCTTCTACCGTACCGAGTATTGCGCGTCCAATGGGCGGCATGTGGATCGAACCCCCCACTCAGTCCTAAATCCAGAGCATTCCACCCCGACGTCTATCATTTCTCACATATCCGCCGCTGCCAACAAACGCACCCAGCTCCACCCCCACACGCATGCATGAATCCAGGCACAGCACAGTACAGCTCTCTAGATACGGTAATCCGAGAACGCCACCATCGTCATCCTTGTCACTCGCTTTGCAGCGGCATACAGTACAAAGATTGGGGGTTGTAGAAGTACCAGTTCATACGTACCATACCTGTTGGTACCTCCGTACTGTACAGTACTGTAGAATTCAACTGCATTATCTGTCACAAGTCAGGCCAGGTCTTTCTTGTATTTGCCCGCAATTTCGCCGGAAAATGCGACTCTGCCTTATCGTAAAACTAACCAGCCCAGCCAACCCCTTATCTCACTCGGCTTTGTTCAAACTGTGGAAAGAAATAGTACTCCGTGAAGTCATCGTACTCGTAAATTTAACCTTGGACTCCAATATATACACAAGCTAAGTACCGAGTATTTCATGCATAGGCTTCTTCCGTTGGAAAGTGGACCAGGGCACTCTCCCGCCCTTGGAGTCTTGGACGTGAGGTGGGTGGACCAGCTGTCAAGGTAGCATTGCTATGTGCCAGATAGACCAAGGTTCTTCATTGCTGCAAAATTTCAAGTGAAATGCATCGTGATCCTTACACACCATTGTTACCCTAGTCTTATCATATAAATGCTGTATGACACGACATCTCTGTTTTCCAATACTGTATATTCGTGCCCTCGAGCCGCTTTCTGGTCTTGTGATGATTTTCTTTGAACTTGGATGAAACTGATATGGCATGCGAACCATCGAATACGGACCTACACGTGTAGTGAAGTGATCACCTTGTGAAACCAACACTCGAGATTCCACAATCATCCTCTGTCAGATACTTGAGATTCACTCCCCCCATAAGCCTCAGCAAACCGCTTTGAGACAAGACTCCTCGAAGCCAATATGTTGGAAAGAGAGTGTCTCTGCAGAACTTCCTGGTCAGAAATGGCTCTAGCATCCTCATCTGTGACCAATCAACACCATCTGCCTAACACTTGAAGGCACGTACTGGTGGTTTCATTGGTTGTTGGTTAGCTAGCTAAGATACAGAGGTTGCAATGCGAAGAGGTTATCCCCATCGCTTAGTAAGCGAGCTCAAGGTCACATAAGTAGAAAGGCTCAGACAATATTCCCCATACATCGAGTTTACGCATACATATATTTACGAGTCCTTATGCTGAGAAATATCACAAGCAGGTATATATTTCATATATTTCTGCATCCAAGCGATGCTCTTGTTACCCCTATTTATTCCTTATTGTTCAACAGGTTGTCTATCTCGCTGAGTAATCAGATTCTCCTTCGTACAGTATGCACTGCGCATGGCAAGCGCCACGCGACAAAGAAGTTTTCACCCGCAACCAAAAAAATACAGCTTGATGCTTTCCCTTACCACATTCCGACGCAGTACACTCCTGCGAACTCTCATAACCACCACCATGCAAGAAGCCAAGAGACAACCTGCCAGACGGCATCCTTACAAAGGCAAGAGACCCATCAACACCGCTGCAGCTCCTTCTCGAAATGCTGCACCACCTGCACCTCCACCAAGAGTCGCGACTCCTCCTCTCACCGAGCAAGTCCCTTTGGATACGCCGCGTTTTGCAGATCTTGCAAAGGAAAACCTGATTCATCCCATCATGCTGCAGACTATTACGCAGGATCTGAAGTTCGACCACATGATGCCCGTGCAAGCAGCAACTCTACACGACCTCCTTGCGAAACGGATAGATGTGCTAGCACAAGCAAAGACGGGAACGGGCAAGACGATCGCTTTTCTGCTGCCGGCCATACAGACGCTTCTCAACAAGAACAGAAAACCAGGGTCTGGGGTCTCTCTACTAGTCATCTCACCAACGAGAGAACTTGCTATGCAAATTGCAAAGGAGGCAACAGCACTGCTCAAGCGTATGCCGCAGTATCAAATTAGCTTCGCCATTGGTGGAACAAACAAGACTACGGAGGAGAAGAAGATCCTAGCAGGCTGCGATATCCTGATAGCCACCCCTGGGCGTCTCCTCGACCACTTGAGCGACGAGAGGGTTCGAGGCTGCTTCAGAAACCTCGACACGCTCGTGCTCGATGAAGCAGACAGGCTTCTAGATATGGGATTCATGAATGATTTGAAGAAGATCGTCGCCTATCTACCCGACAAGGCTAAGAGTAATAGACAAGGCATGCTCTTCTCCGCAACCATCGCGCCCCACGTAGAAAAGGTCGCCCATCTTGTTCTCTCAAAGGACTACAAGTTCATCTCCACCATCCCAAAAGGCGATCTCAATACCCACGAACGCGTGCCCCAGCACCTGATCGTCGTGCCCACCTTCTCCGACGTCGCAGCCGCCCTAGTCGGTTCTCTGCGCTCCGAGATCGCTCTTGAGGGCCCGGCCACCTTCAAAGCCATCATCTTCGCCCCTACCGCTGCGCTCGCCGATTTCTATGGCGAGGTTCTGTCTGCTATGCCCGGTTTGGGAAATGTCAGTGTGCTACACTCGCGTGTGAGTCAGGGCAAGAGGACCAGTGTGACGAATGCTTTCCGAGAAGCCAAGCATGGAACCTTGGTAGCTACGGACGTCGTTGCGCGTGGTATGGACTTCCCCTCAGTTACAAACGTCTTCCAGGTCGGCATTCCCATGGACAAAGAATCATACATTCATCGATTGGGACGTACTGCTCGTGCTGGCCGCGAGGGCAGAGGAACATTCATTCACGCCGCGGATGAGACCTTTTTCTCCAAATACACCTTGAAAGAAATTGCCTTTGAGAAAACCGAGGCAGACGTGAGCGCTAAGAATGAGGTGAGAGCTATTGCTTCTCGTATGGAGAGTCAAGCGAAGACCTATCAAGCTTGGCTGGGATATTACAAGGGACATGCCAAATCCATGGGCTGGGATACTGCCAGGCTGGTTCATGAGGGCAATAGGTTTGCTTTGGACGGCCTATGTGCACCAGAAGTGCCAGCTATCAACAAGTCGACAGTGGGCAAGATGGGTCTAAAAGGTGTACCAGGGTTGACTGTCCGACCTGATCCACCGAGAGAGCACAAAGCCAGAGGAGGTGGAGAGGGTAGAGCTGGCGGACGAGGCAGGGGCTATTAGACGTGTTACTCTTACTGCGATACTGTTACGAATAGTTTCTGGATACTGCACCTTGGACGAGAGATTCAAGGTGTCTAAAAATGTAGTATTATTGCTGGGTTTTCGTTATTAGATTTGGTAGATAGAGATACCTTAGCGCCGGCGTCACAGAGGTTGGGGTTGGCACTTCTCTGTTAATAGATTCCTTTCCTAGAGATCGAGAAAAGACCACGGCATCGATGATTTTCTTTCTGTGATGACTTGATATAAGGAGCGAGGCGTGATTCATGGCCATGGTTAGCCCAGTTGAACGCCGCCTCATACAGCTTTCTCGCCATCGGGACATCTTATAAGTGCAATATTGGGGACTATGGCGCAAAGACTCCTCCTGTGCAAGTGTTTCGATTCGAGACGATAAGGAGCCTTATTGATCTGCCTACAGCAGCTCAACACTTGACGCAAAGTGGCTTACAAACTCACAAGGCTTTCAGTGCCGCGAGACGTCTCGGTCTCGGTCGTTACATGAGAGCAAAGCATTTTAAAAGTAGGTATGTTGTATATAAACATCGAATCATGAGACATTACATCCATCTATCATCTTGCCATAAGCCAGGATTATCTATACCGCCTATTACAGTACAACGTCCAACCAAATCCATATAAAAGATCACGTATCTCTCTATGTCTGCGTAGCATTACCAGCATTATTTTTTGCCTTCACGCTATCAAACCAGTAGAGGCTCAGCCTATTTTCAGCACCGCAGTACTCCGTTGAGTTGCCAGGGCAAGTAAAGCTGCACTGGCTATACGAGACGTTCGCACTAGGCGTTGGTTCTGAATTGCCTGCTATGTTGAGGGTATTTCCGCACCAACACTCGCGCCCGTTTTCTACGCCTGCGTAGGCATAATCATAGCATGTTGAGAGACACGTCGCAATAGTCATGTCCGTGCCATTGCTGAGGACTTTCGAGGAGAGGAGACGGTCATTGACTGGTTCAGTGACACAGGAGTAGTAAGTGAAGTTTGCGTTTCCGTTCGAAACGACAGGCACGGTTGATGAGGGTGTTTCTGAGGTTGCGGAGGAGTTTTTGGTGGAGCTACTGCTGCTGCTTGACGTGGAAAGTTGCGGTGAAGAGGATAGGAACGAGTTCGTACTTTTAACGAAAGGACTTGAGCTAGAGGCCGCCGAGGTCGATGCCGTCGAAGTTAAAATTGAGGAGGATGCGGATTGTGTGCTAGAAAGGCTCGATATTCCAGAACTTGAGGGTGTGCTCACAAGACTCGAGGATGAGTTTGTGCTCGCCTCAAAGGTAGAAAGTGTCCCGTTCTTGATATACACATTCAGGCGGTTGCCTGCGCCGCAGTAAGCGGTTGTATCCCCGGCACATAACATTGAACAGTCGCTGTCCTTCGTGGTGACAGCTCCGGAACCAAAGCTGTTTCCGCACCAACACTCACGGCCATACTCAACACCGAAATAAGTGTAGGAAGAACAAGAAGAAGCACAGTATGCTACTGTTTGGTTGTCCGAGGGGTAAGAGGCTGCCGCGAGAGCACGGACGTTTGTTCCTTCAGTATAGCAGCCAGCATAGTTGTACAAGCCGACTGAGGGCACGATAGTCGGGCCTGTTGGTTTCGCTGATGTGGTAGTACTAGTAGTGAGAATTGTGCCGGTGGGAGTGGAAACTGTGACACTTGTCTTTAATGTCATCGAAGAGTCAGGGGTGGTTAGAACACTGCTTAAAGCATTTCCCGTTGAAGTCGTCGAAGAATTGGATAAACCGGCTGGTGATGTGGTAGAAGCCGCGAGACTGTATAATTCAAGCCGGTTGCCTGCGCCACAATACTCGAGATTATTACCAGGGCACAAGAAGCTACAATCTGCTTGGTTCGCAGCCTTGATACTCCCAGTGCCAAGTGTATTGCCGCAATAACCTAAGTTCATTGTCAGTCAGTTCATGGAAGCGATGATTGCACATACATTCCCGTCCGTACTCAGCGCCAAACCATTTGAACCCGGTACAAAAGGAGGCGCAAAATTCCAAAGTCATAGAATCGTTGGCATAGGCAAGACCGGCTAGAGCGCGAGAATTCGTACTCTCCGTCCAGCAACCCTGGAATGCCCAATTGCCAATCGTTTGCTTGATTTGAGGACCACCTGTTGGAGTTGGAGTCGCAGTCCCAGTAGTCGTGCCATTACTGGTTGTGGTAGGAAGTGTAACATTCCCGCGCTGATACATGTTTAGTCTTGAGCCAGCTCCGCAATACTCCGTTCCATTGTCAGCACAGGTCATGCTGCAATCAGTACTTGCAGTAAAACTAGCACCATTGCTGATAGAGTTGCCACACCAGCACTATCGACGGTCAGTATTGAACGATCTGAATATTAACGTCAACTCACCTCTCCCCCGTATTCCATTCCAGCATATTTGTAATTGCCAGCAGAACAAGCACTAACACAATTTGCAACTGTCTTTGAAGTAGGAGTCAGCTGCTGGGACAATGCTCTACCACTGGTGCCTTCGGTATAGCAGCCAATGCTCGTATAACCTCCAACACCAGGGTTGACAAAGGGTCCGCTTGGTGGGGTGGTCGTGACATTTCCACTGAAGCCTCTAGCGTCAGCAAACAATGAGATGTAGCTTCCGCCTGCTCCACTGCCAATGCCGTTACCGCCGCAGATCTGGTTGATATCGCCGGCGCAAGGGTAGTTACAGTTGCCTTCATCAACAGCCTGGATGGGTATTGTTGGCCCTCCCCAACATTCGCGGTTGTATTGAGTACCGCAGAAAGTATATCCAGCTGCAGAACAAGCTGCAATGCACATAGGAATGGTGTTGTTTACATTTGCATAGAGTTGAGTTTTGAGTTGTCGACCGGGGTTGTTCTCCTTGAAGCAGCCCGTGTAGTGATAATATCCCAGACCGTTGGGCTGGAGAGGAGGAGCTTGTTCCGAAACGCCGAGACAGTCAAATTGAATGAACTGCTTTCTAAAATTTGGATCATCGGTATTCATTGTCCACTGTGCGCTTCCCGAGTACGGGTTCTCGTTCCACTGCTCTTTGGGTACTGAGCAGTAGAGAGTTGCAGTTGCATTCTCTCCGGGTGCGAGAGTGGTCCCTTCAGCGAGATCGACAGCATTGTTGGCTCCGATTATCCCTACAACCCCAAAAGGAGGTTTCGAAACCGTGATAGAGAGTCGAGCGCTGTCAGTAGTAGCGTTGTTTGTCAATCGCATTTTCAAGGAACGGGTAGTATTCTCCGTCACATTTCCGAACGTGAAATTTGTACCCGACTTGTACTGTGCCCAACCAGCGCCGTCGGTAGTTTGGAACTCGAGAAGTGCGACTGGGGCACTTCCAGAGGTTCCAACCACATCAAAGGTCTTGTTACCACCGTTCGACTGCACAACTAGATAAGCAGCAAAGTTTCCACTTGCGGAGGTATCAAAATTGACAGTAACAGTGACTTCAGAATTCCCAGGAATAGTGGATGGAAGGCCAATGAAGGTAAATGGCCCAGCCCTCGGCCCTGACAAGGTGGTGTTGGCAGGAATAAAAGGGCCGGTCTCGCTCTGGGTGGAGTAGAGAATGCTTCTGATTGACAAGTTACCATTTCCTAGATTTGTGAAGATCACAGACTGATTTACACCTCCGGCTTGAGCCCCAGTAACAACGCCTTGAAAAGCTAAAGTCACAGGACTGACAGAGAGCAGAGGGTTCACACTTTGACCAGTACCACGCAGGCCGATGGGGGTAGTAGTACTATAGCCAGCCACTTCATTGGTAGTGCCAACAAGAATATCAGATGACAGTGGGCCAACAGCCTGCGGATCGAATGTTGCTTGAAGGCTGAAAGAGCTTTTAGCTGCTACCTGAAGTGGTAAACCTGGGACCCCGTTAATGACGAAGTTTGGATCCCCACTCAGGCTAATGTTCGTGACCGTAACGTCAATATTTGCCAGGCAAGTAACAGTCTTAACCGCAGTCGCATTCTTTAGGTCTGATACTCCAAAGTCATAAGGCGAAGAGCAATTGATCGGGAGATTGACGGGCGATCCAAATGCATAAAGAGCGCCTGCCGCAGTTCCCATATAAGCTCGGCCATCCCCAAAAACTGGTCGGGTGAACTTGAGTGGATTTGGAAAGTTGAAGGAGTTGATTAGGGTCATGAGGCCATTCACCGGTACTGCGTTATAGATGCGGAGGGTAGATCCTTGGACATCACTAGTCCATACAAGACCTGTTCCTATTTGCCCATTCAGAGAAGTGACAGTTCCGTGTCCCACGCCTAGAATATAGGCATTTTTGGTAGGATTGTCCGCAACTTTGGTGAAAGAAGGAACTCCCGCATCGCATGAGAACTTAAAGACATGACTTGGATATTGAATGACTAATCGCCTGGTTAGCATTGACAGGATAAAGTGTATCGGTCCAGGTCTGGAAGGTTGTTTCTAAAGTCTTAAGACGGAGAGGCATTTCTACAAGCCCTGCCAGCACTTCAAAGACATGAATGTGTGACATATAGACACGAAGAAAAAGCGAGGAAAACCTTCCGCGCTGCTTACCGTTAATATAGATATATCCTCCCTCAAGGGGGAAAACGCCAGCTCCAGCGTAAACAGAATTCTCGTTCTGGTATACCTGAATAACATCATCCAGCTTGTTTGGACCATTCTGGTATCCTCCCAAATTGTCCAAGTTGAGCCAATAAGTTTTGCCACTTTTTCCTGTGACAACTCCGATGCGCTTCACATCGCCGCAGGAGAATTCGCTTGGAAGCAATTCCAGAGGGGTCGTGCCAAGATCTCGATCAGCACCATCTAGTTGTGTCTTCTCCCATGGCATAAAAAAGTCTACTATAGTTAAACTACCGTCTTCGTTGATTGTCATATGAACAGCAGCTTCTTCAAGTGAGGTTGGCGGGTTTCGACCATTGACAGGAATCGTGCTGAGTTGAGAAGCGTATCCGTTTCCTGAGGCGAAGAACATCGATCCGGCGTCATCCGACGCCAAACCTCCACCCGACATCCATACACCACCTCCGGGGGTTGTATTTGGAACACCAGCACCTTCAGTTGCATATCTTTCAACCGTAGCCCCGGTTGTCTTGTCCCAACCCATGATCCATCCAGTAAAATTGTATTGGACGCAGTGTGACGCAAACCCAGCGTAGATAAACTGTCCGGTATGGAGTATGGCAGGTCGCTGATGATGAATACCACCATTGAAACTTCGAATGGGATTGTTCCTTGCCACGGTACCCTCGAGATTTACAGGGAAGTTCGGCCGCTCGCTGAGATCTTTGACATCAATAGCGTGAACATAGTATCTCCCATTGGGCTTGCCTTGGGCGACAGTCCCACCATCCTGGTTTGCATATGTCTTCGTTGTCAAGTACCATGTATCGGTATCCGGGTCAATGACGCCGGTTGCCGTGGAACCGATGCCTGCCGAGGAATTAGTACCATGTTTTGTCTCAATATCAAGAGCCAGAGCCAGAGGCAGACATAGTAGATGAAACAAAGAAAAGAGCTGCTTACAAGGGGTGATGTCAACACACCCATTTAAGTCGGCAGCTAAAAATGGAATGTGTAAGTTTCGTTGTGCAACAATGGCGCCGGTCTTCGCGTTGACTTTGTAGATGTTGTTCTGCGTCGTTGCCAGATAGACATACTGTGTACCATCCGCAGACGGGGTATACACTAGAGGCTGAGCATAGAGTTGCTCCTTGGCACCGTTATATGTGCCCGGCAACTGAGTCACGAAAAGCTGGCCAAATTGTGAGGATCCAACAATTGAAGGATCCATATTATGATTACTAGAAAGATTAGCAATGAGATTGTAATATAACGAGGTACACTCACGATTGATATCCAGTCCTAGAATTATCACCTCCCCAAGTGATGGTATCCGTCGAAGCGAGAGAGTGGACCTGGTTAACAAATGAGAGAATGGAAGTAACAACGAAGGTAGTAGAGAAGATCTGAGACAGCTTCATCTTCGCTATTGAGGAAGTCATGGTTGAAAGCATAGCAAATGTAAAGTGAGCCAAGAAGGGCTCAGCGAAATGACAGTGTCCCAAGAATCTTTCTTTCTTGTTCGTCAGACGTGCTCCATGGCTATATGTTATTATAGCAATTGAATCTCTCGCGGTCTCCACCACTCCGAGTGCTCGTGTGCAGTACAGGTGAATTTACTACTGCGCCATCAGAGAAGACTGGCGGGCAGAGTTAAACAAACCCATCGTGAAGGGACAGCAGCAGGTTTAATACGAGGTTGTTGGTGCAAGGATATGGAAATGTGCATGGCAATCTAGAAGAAAGGGAAGTAAGGAAGTATACAGTTAGGCCGTGCAGGGGTAGGGGCAGGGCAGGAGTGGTCGTAATCCTCGAATGCGTTAGACCCGACGCATCGCTCTGGGCCATGCAGGTAAGTACTTCGTACAGTCCTGGTAGGGGCCACAGCGACTCGGCCATACGAAGTATACGGAGTGGGGATCTGATCGCTGGCAAAATGGAAATAACCCAGAGACAATTCCCCCGCGACGGCCACGTTCTCCTTCTGCTACTTGTATTCCAAACACAATCATATGGACATGGGTAACTGCAGCTCGCATCTCCTCAATCTCCTGCGCTCCTACCAAGCACATGCGGTACACCGTATTATAACATGTTAATCAGACTAGGATCGCATAGCTGGGTCCTTGACTTACTTACCATTTTAGCATAATAATAAGGTAGCTCTTGCCCGAATAGCCTACACAAAGTATCTAGCCTACCTACACATGGACCTTCTATGTTGGGACACACATTGATACTGAAATAACATCTAACTTATTACTCGACCCTAGCCCCGGCCCGAGGTCTGAAGATTGAATTGTTCTTGGTGACCATGAAACAGACGTATCACATACCTATGCATATTACACAACAGGTGAGGTTAAATTTCAGCTGCGAACCCGCATAACCTTACCTCATTCTCAACGCCATCACATGACGCCTCTGTCTCGGAATCTGAGCATATAGCAGCCTCATGCTCAACTAAACCGGCTGACTGCCGACCGCCACCAATTGAGTTCAGGGCTGGCTATACCATATGGAGCCAACGCAGTCAACTGTGGCTTTATCAAATCTAGGATCAATTACTATCGACAGCTAGGAGCCTCACTATCTTTGAATTCGGCTGCCTTCGGTCGAGTCAGATACATTCTTCATATCCACCTGTATAGTCCATCACTCGTACCAAGGTACCTCCTAAACTCAGATCAACCAGAACTCCTCTTTCGGGCACTAGGGGGCTGGATGGTCGTTCATTCGGGCGGATTGGGAAAGATGAATGATCTCTTCACTCCCGTGAGAGCAAAGCATATTTCTGGAGCACAGGTTGGTGCGACATTGATGGATGTAAAACGAACTCTTGACATTTAAGTCCAGGCCATGCTATTTATGCATTGCATCTCCCAGTCTCAATTGAGCCACCCCAACAATCCTGAAGAACACCTGAACGTGATCCCCTCCTAAAACACTGCACCTAAAAACAGTAGCATACATCGACAACCTTGTCAAACATCGTGAATATCCTCACCTCCCCTTGGGTCTCGAACTCGCCATTTCTCCATATCTACCTCTCTCTCTCGTGGTATCGTACGCTTGCAGTACCCTTGTCTGCGACTCATCTGCTTGCGAGAAAGCATACCCACGCTGTTTTCGCATGCGCTGTACTTGCCGAACCTTGCGGATTGCTTTTTGGAATTGTTCCATCCTGCGCATTTTGTATTAGCATGAAACATGGCGAGGAAAAGGTAGTGGAGGGTGAGCGTAACGTACCGAGGCCGGTAATCTTGGATATTGTACTTCTGGATCTCTTGAATGTGATGATATGTCTGCGGGTAGTACATTCGTTTCGCACTATTAAGTGTGTTAGCATGCGCTTCCAAAAAATGACGAGAATCAACGTACTACTTCCATGCAAAGTCGCGGGATAGACACAGAATCGGCAAGGCGAGTAGTTGCAGCCAGAAGACCGGGCTCGGGAACAATCGAGGGACGACTCCTTCGTATTCTTCTGAAAATCCCAGCTTTGGTGCCACAGTGGCATATACTGCGATAAAGATCATCCAAATTACCATGCTGCCAGGTATGGATATCACGTGGTACTTGGTCCATATGTTAGTTACCAGTGCTGCCTTGCCCAGAACGGTCGCAAGGACTGCCGTGTAAAGTGCTGTACCCCAAACCCAATGGCCTGCAGTTTTACCATCGCCCTGCGGGAGATCTCGCCACCAGATGCATTCAGACGCAATGTATAGGATCAATGAATGGTAGAATCCATTGCCGACCCAGGAAAAGAATGAGTGCATTTTGAAAAATGTATTCTTTTGTCCGATTTGATAAAGTTGGGGATATCTGTCCAAAAGGCGCGCCGAGATAAATTGGTCGAAGATACCCATCGCAAGCGGCGGCAGAACGGTGAAGAACACGTTGTAGAAAGAAAGGGTCCAGGACTCGTAGATGACTTCTCCAGAGAAGGCATTCTGAAATGAGTACTGTGGCTCGTTAGCTGGAAATATTGTAGCAACACATGATTGCTTACCCAGAATTGTGTCATGTACAAGGTGATGTTCTTGTAGAACGAAAATAGAATAACCTTGCTTATCCTTTGGTAGCTCCAGGCTCCATGGACGAGCAGTAACTTCCGTAAATATCTAAATTGGCCGATGGCAACATCCGCGCTCCGCGCCGCCTGTAAACCTTCCATGCCACTGATACCCACTCCTATGTGTGCCGCTTGGATCATCGAAACATCATTTGCACCATCACCAATAGCCAACAAAATAGCCTTCAGGTGACGCTTCACGAGCTTAACGACCAAAGCTTTTTGGAGTGGTGAAACACGGCAGCAGATGACTGCCTTGCACATAACAGCAAGGTCCAGAAAATTCTTTTCCAGATCTTTCTCCAGAGCATAGGTCAATGATTTTCCGTCAATGACAAGAGCCAAAGTGTCCAGGGCAAAGGTACCATCACCTTGATTTCGAATAGCATCAAGCTTCTTCTGTATGTTATCCCGAGTTGCTCCTGCAGATTCCTCATTGACAATTAAGAGCGTCATATCTTCGCTAATCAATTTACAACTCATACCAATATTGATAGCAGTCTCTTGTCGATCTCCAGTGAGTACCCAGACTTTGATGCCTGCTTCTTGAAGGGTGTGAATTGTTTCAGGAACACCGTCTTGTAAACGATCCTCGATAGCAGTCGCACCCAACAGATAAAAATCCCTCTCTAATATCTCTGCAGCCTTATCTAGTTCCTCTGCACGATTACCACCAACTGTGGTCTGTGCCTTATCGAAAATTTGCCACCATTCCTGGAATTCTTGATCTGGGATCTCGCGCATGGCGAGACATAGTGTTCTAAGACCTTCAGATGCGTATTCTTCGAGATGTTGCAGCGTGATTTCAACGTGGGGATTATCGGGACTTAGTCGTTCGAGAATAACAGTATCTGCACCTTTGCAATAGCATCTGATCCTCCCGTCTGGGCACCGGAAGATCGCAGACATTCTCTTTCGGGTTGAGTTGAATTCGCAGACAGCGAGCAGCTCATATTCAAACAGTTCTCCGGCTACGGTAACTTGGACCGATCTTGGTTTACGAGCCGTAAATTGATAGCCCATCATTACGGCACCTTCGACTAAAGCACCCTCATCGGGCGATGCTGCTTGATACTTAATGGCTCCACCCTTCTCGTCAGTTCTCTCCGGAATGACCGTGTGGCATGTCGCGAGAAGAGTCAAAAAGTGGTGTATCGCCGCACTCGATTCATGCGACTCGAGGTTCTGTTTTAATCGTTTGAAATCGTGGACTCCAATTTCGACCCCATCTTGAAATGTCGCCTGGCGATCTTCTGGGACCGTTTCTGCATACTGGATACCACCAATTGAGCATTGCTTGAACTCCATCTGGTTGCATGTCAATGTACCAGTCTTATCAGAGAATATGTATTCAACCATGCCCAGTTCTTCGACCAAACTTGATGTTCGGCACACAGCGGGCGTATCCGTCTGGTCGTAATACATATCAAGATCATCATTTATGAGGATTGCGTGCCAGTATTTGACCATCTCGACGGTGACGAACAGCGAGATGGGTACCAGGGCAGAATAGAGAACCCAATAGGTGAAAATGTCAGACCAGAATTGTTGGACTTTTTGAGAAGCAGAAGTTGAAGCAGCATAATCAAGATAGGCTAGTTCCTTCCCGTGATATATCCGTATCAAAAGGTCTCCAATAGAACTTATGACACTCAAAATTACGAGAATGCCAATCAGCATCAATACCAACGTATTCAGCTGTCGTTCCACAGCTGTCCGCTTGATTGGCGTAGCGGTGGCATTTCGCATGAGTTTTGTCTCGTGGCCAGTAAATACAACGACACCATGAATCCAAGGAGTATTGCGCAATGTAGCACCTCGAAGAAGGAGTTGATCGGGCTGCAAAGGAAGCTCTTTCTCCCCACCACCGGCTGCCACAGTCATACTGGCCTCGTACGTATACAGGCTGCTGTTTGGCTGCTCGGAACGTAACCTTCCTCCTAGCCTGCTCAACTCGCTTGAGCTAATCAAAGAACAGGTCTCTGGAATGGCTTGCTTGATCTTCAGATTCGTCTCTCCATCAAGATTTGCCGTTTCAACGTAACATAAACCTTCCGGTTCCGAACTCGCCAGGAGAACAACATCAGCCGGAAAAGGTTCTTCCGACTCCACCCTGACAATATCTCCAACGGCAACGTTCACCCATTTCATGTCAACAAATGAGGACCCCTTGAGAACGCGAGCTTTCGAATTGTTCAACGATTTATCGGAGGATTTCCTTCTGTAATCCTCAACCAACTCTTTTCCTGCAGAAACCGCCAAGACTAGAATTAAGGGCCCGATGGTAGTGTATTTATTGGTGGGCGAAATATTGGGTATCTGTTGTAACGCGGCAGTAAATAGAAAGAAAAGATTGGCAAATTTGGAGAATTGTTCGAAGAGAAATTTGGGTATGAAGGTAGCGACGTTGTACTTGGCCGTAGAGATGTGGTTGTCTGCAAATTTGTTTGTAAAATTCGCAGGAGGGTTGTTGAGGTGTATAATCCTTGGGCCTAATGTTGATGGGTCTGGCTTGCCTCTCCCGAATCCAAATTTGAAATTGCCAACATCGAACTTCTTTGATGCATGCTTTGGAGTTTCCGGCTCGGTTGGATCAACCATTGGTGTTCCTCCGGGCTCTGTCAAAGGCAGGTCCATTTCCGAATACTCGGGTTTCATTCCCAGCATACTCTTCGCTTTGCCCATAATGCCACCTCCCATAGTCAATACACTGTTCCGATTCCGTGCTTTCGCCCTCATTGATCCGTCAGCCCCATCTCCAGGTGTTGCTTCTCCCTGCTGATAGTACATTGAATGTCCCTCATCAGGAAAGTCGTCCAGATCGTCTGCGTAACGTTGGTAGTTGTTTAATCCCGAGGTCTGACTATACGTTCTCTGCGAACTATCCCCAGTATACGGACCTCCTGCTACCCCTGAAACTGTACCAGGGCCTCCCGGAAGTGGTCTGGCTGGAGTGTGTGCTTCCCCACCAGCACCCACGAAATCATCATAAGATACTGAGGGTCGGGGATTCGATTGATGGTCCGCATTGTATGCGCGCAAAAGGTCGTCATCGTTCAGGGGAGGCCGTTGGCCATCATGATATATCGGTCGCTCATCGTCCAAGTCGAGGAGGAGGTCGTTCCCATTGCTAGAAGAAGGCTTCCCAGCCATGCTGAGAGCAGCTCGCGGTGGTCGCAATCAAGACAGCGCAAGCTTCCCTCGTTGACATACAGAGTCTGCGACGACGAAAAATGTCTCCTGTGAGCTGTTTAGGCGGAAGAAATGGTGGAAGTAGATGTCGTGGTGGTAAAGACAATAAGCAAGCACAGCCCGACTGGGAATAGGTCAATGGGTCAAAGAATACGAAGCTTCACGCTTCACTTGCCCAGCCAGCGCTGCGCACCTACAGTATGGTCAACGCAATCAATAGCAATACTCGTATGCTGAAATTGAGGATGGCGGGCCATTGACAACACCAATGTATTGAGTTGAGTCGAGAGTATAAGTGATCCCAGTGTTTGTACAAGTATTTTGCTCTCCCAGTCGTCCAGTCGTCGCCTTTCATTCCCCTGCCCTGCACGTGCCTGCGACGGGGTTGAGAGCCTCTATAATGGGTGACCGTATACGGCGTATAGTCGGGAAGAGTTTACAGTAGCGTCATTCCATCTATAAGAGCTAGTATAGAGGACTAAAAATGTTAAAATATTCTCTACCTTATTGGATGGAATAAAACATATATTTTCTACCTAATTGGCTTATTGCGGTAAAAGGCCTGGTGGAGATATAAACAAACCAGGACCAGACAGAATCCACTTGCCTCAACGCGCTTATCAGGTTATCGACTTTCTACATCCACCAGATCGATACCTTATCCTCTCCAATACAAGTACTCATACCAACCACCACATCCAAAATGGTCTGCGGGAAGTGCCAGAAGCTCTGCAAGTCTACAACCTTGGCTACGCCCGGCGTAAAGAAGAAGAATGATATGTACTACGGCTCTCCTGCGGGTTCGGCTTCGAAGAGCGGCGACAAGACCAAGTCCGCCACGATAGGTAACAACGGCGTCGGAAAGGTATGTCTCAAATCGCGCAGGCCTAATGGCATGCTAATAGTTCTCATAGAGTAAACTGCTATCAAAATCTGCAAGAAACCCTTACGCTTCGTACTCGAGTTCCTGTACAACCTGCAAAACAAAGTTGGAGCAAGGAAAGACGTACTGCCAGAAGTGTGCCTACAAAGCAAATGGTATGTCTACCCAACCCTATTTCCCATAGAACCATTTTGCTAATCATCTCGCCAGCATGTGCCATGTGTGGGAAGGCGAATTCAAAATCAACCGCAGCGGCGCCTGTAATCGCCGGTCAGAAGTTCACCCTCAAATGAAAAAGCTGGGCATTATGAAATATAAATGAACAAGAGGCGTTAAGGATAGCTTGTCTATTTGGATGCGGTGGTAAATCTCGGAGGAGTACTACGGCGTTGGGCCAAAGGGTTGGGAAAGAATCGCTCTTTGGGTGGCACGAAAGCTGAACAATATCAAGACAGGTCTTTAGTCCGCTTATGTTCGTCGGTCGTCGCAATATTTTGCAAACCGTGGTGGCAGTTTCTATGTTATGGCAGAGTGACCGAATATCGAAAACTAGAAATCCTATTTCCGCGGTATCTCTGAAGTCTTCGTACTCTTATAGGTCGGATACTAGGGTCAAAGGCTACTACCACTTCCTCTCAGCAAGGAGTCCAAATCAGAACTTCCTCTACTTCCCACTTTGTCATCATCTAAGAGTGGTATGAACTGGTTGGTGCGATGTTTTCGAATAAGCTCCTCGTCCGCGTCCAGCTATGAAGGTTGAGGCATTGTCGGGCTATAGCTCTTGTATTCATGTTTTACAGCTCTTTGCTGTTTATCAAGACCTATCGCTTCTCGTTGAGCTTCCAATTCCCTGTCTTCACATTCCTTGCGATCAAAGACCTCTCCCTAGGATGCTCTTGTAGATCCAACCCGCTTATATCCAACGCTTCATCACCTCTTTTTTTGAGCTCCTCACTGCATTTTGTTAATTTTTCGGTGTCTTGTTGAAGGCATTCTTATCCTATTTAAAGCACCTGCTCCAGATAAGTTTAGTGGTCTCTTTGTGGTCCGTGTCACTCAGATTCTGCTGTTTATTTCGTCTGGTGGTCATAGGGGCGAAGTGACATGAGCTCGACCGGTTTTAAACAACAATAATTGACTCAAAACTGTTCAATTGCTGCCCTGAAATGCCACGACCAGCATATCACCCTCTCTATATTTCCCTTGCCAACGAATCCGCATTATAGAAACACTAAATAGATCGATCCTGCAAACCGATGCACTCTTATCAAATCCTTGAATTTGAATCTGCACAACAGGGTAGTAAAATATATTTATTCAAGGCAATTATACACATAAATAGATGTACCCAGCGCCTTGTCATAACATCTTGTAGTTTAATGTACATACAGCCATCTAAACGCCATTTCCCATATGAGCTCCGAAATCATACAATACATGGTGCTACCAATCACAAACCTCTATAATCCAAGTGGCGGTAGCTCATTGAGCAAGTTATCCCAGTTTCCCTCACCCTCTTTGAGCTTACCCTCCTTCACAACGAGCAGCTGTCTAACTCCGCAATACGCGCCTCTCATCGCTGTCCTGTTGTAATCAACATAGTAGCCTTTGTTCAGCCAGTAGTCGTTCCCGAGCTGGGCTCCAATGGTCTCCCGCTTCACTGGCTTGCTCGTCTCTTCTGCCCGGCGCTCAACACCAGTGCCTTGCCAGGTAGATTCTTCGCCTCCAAATTCCTTCTCGGACCTTTCAAGCTCTACGTCCATTGTGTCATTCAGCAAAGAGACCCATAGCCTATCTTTGATAACCTCACCCTCAAGCTCGGCTCGTCTTGCGTTAAACACAGGCATGTGTGCGAAATGGTTGATGATGGCTTGAGGAATGGCGAAGAGCCGCTCAAACCGCTTGGCGATGTAAATGTGCTTTTGGGTCGTTGCATCATAAGAGACGCGGACATAAGGATTCATGTAGATGCCCGTATCCCACTTCGAAGATGTCTTAGGGTAGTCTGGGAGACTTGGGAGGGCCATGATGTCCGCGTGAACAAGGCAACACTCGCTCGAATCCCAGAAAGGTTCCGGTTCGGAGCGAAAGCGAAGCGGTATTTTCGGTGGTTCCACTTCTCCAGCATGACTAACATCGCCAGTGCTCCTCGAACTCTTACTCCCTGCCCCATCACTGATACTAAACCCACTGGTATCCCTCTGTAAATACCTGGCATCGAACGCTGTCATCCCGCCCCAGCAGCTCTTGACTCTAACCGCATCTCTCCCAGCTAGCACATCTTTTCTGCTGATGGCGTCTCCTTCATTTGCAAACCAGGGGTATATGGGAACACCAATGCTATACCCCTCGGAATCCCTCGTAGCAAATGTATCGTAAAACTTCCACGAACTTACAAAGTCCGTTCCACAAGCCGCTTTATACACACTCTTGCCGGATTTGTCCACGTTCGTGCCCCAAAGTAGCCTCGCCGCATCTTCCGCAGAGTAAAAGACATCATTAATGAACAGCACCTTGTCGAACTTCGTCAACGAAACCTGTAGCGGCTCCAAAGCCTTGTTGCGAACCTCCGCCAAATATGCAATCCGCTTAATCCTACTCTCCCCTGTCGGCAGCATCGTCCTGGGAATGGTGTCCAAATCAAGCGGGGATAGCTCCTCTGATACCAAAGAAGTCTGACACTCCAGCTTATCAGCCAGCTCCTCGAGGGCATGAGTAGGTCCCCCATAGATAGAAACGAACACCCGATCCTTCCCGATCAACTGCACCAAATCCACCAGACTCTTCCCCCATGTTCCTGTAATCAGATCTCCATCGATGATATTCGCTGCGATGAACACCTTCTCATTATGTGGGATACTAAATGGCGGAGGATTCGTATATGAGGCATTGAAGAGGACCTGCCATAGCAGGAGGATGAAAAGGCCGACCAGTATATAAATCGGCCTGCAGATCCTACAGAATCGTCTAAACTTCCTTGCAAGCCCCCATCGCCGTCGAGGGCGTGGTTTGTCCTTGAATTCGTTGGTGGGGTCGAGATCGAAATCAGAGGATGTGCGAGGGAGGAGGTCGTACTGAGCATTGGACGGCATCGTTGCTCGCCGGAGAATTTTGAATTTTCAGGTCATTGGGAATTTGGGTGGATAAGTAAGGGACCAGAGTCTTCATCAAGGTCGTGGTCTTGGTTGTGATTGTAGTCGTTGTCGTTGCTGACTTGGGAGATCTTGATATACATACTCCGTACTGTAGATAATCAGGGGTCCGCGTATTCTGCTACGCCACACTTCCCAGGATCTCGGCATCACGGGCAAACATGTAAAACGCGTACGGAGTAAGACATGTTATACAGTGCATTGCTATCGAGACTAAACATAGGCGGACATATTTACTATATTGTATTATACTCTACCGTGCGCTTCTTCCCCAGAATCGTCTCACATATTCGACGTTGAGCTAAGAGTACGGAGACTCAAAAAGATATTTCGCAAAAGTAAAACTACTCCACAGTAGGTCAAGTGTCCGAGCTCTTTTTAACATTTTCCACATTAGTATTTATCACTTCAGTTTGATCCGTACTACATTTTGCAAAAGCAATGCACGATACTTCATGGGCTCTTTTATTTTCGCCAGAACCAGACTCTATAATACATTTGACCTTGTCTTTGTTTCCTTCCACGGCCATGACAAATTCTCAAAGGGGAGGGTCGGAGGAAATGCATTGGAGTGTCTGGTCGTATGCAACAAAATGCTATGCTGATGCTCCCGGTTCATAAAACGCAGTCAAACCAGGGTTTTTTTGTAATACAGGTAAAAAGCAGGTGCAATGATTGCAAGTGCAAGGATGGCTAGCAGCCTGCGTGTTGACCAGCTATCAGCAATGTTGGGGTTTGGGGGTATCTAAACATGCGAAATCAACTGAAAAGAAAAGGGGAGCGAGATGGAGATATAAACGCAATAGGTGAGTCCTTACGTGTGACGGCCACCGCCGCACAGTCTCATAATAAGCCCACCGATCCAGTCCACAAACACGACATGCCAGAATGCATTTAAGAAGTTCCTAGACTTGACGTCCTTCCGTGAAGAGCGCATGGAATTTGGTGTGAGTGGCCTGCAAGAAGTTAGCGATGCTTGTTCTTGGTAATGTCTCAGGTCTCTCGAAACATCTCACAGACATATGAGATGGTACGTACCGATCTGGAGTAGGGGATGGTGGTCGTTGCTGCTTACGGAATTTAACTGGCGAGTCACCATGCTCGTTGAGTGCAGTACTCTCCCCTGAATTTGTCTTCGTACGTGACCCTGGTGTTGCCGGCTGTATTGTGATATCTGGACCTCCGTGGCCAGTTGCTGTCGTCGAGCTTTCTGGAACACTAACACCTCGACCTTGGCCTTCGACATTATTTGCCTCCTGGGGTCGGTGAACGTTCTGGATTTCAATGCTGCTATCTGGGTTCACTTCCCCGAAACGAACGTTCTTATTCGGCTTGGTTTTGTTATCAGACTCGGGAAGAGTTTTCACGGACTTGGACTCAGGCTGCTTGAAGTCAGTGATGCGTGATCAAGAATCTCCCAGATCTATGGTACAATAAACGTACCTCGGAGGCTTCTTCTATATCGTTCCCCTGAGGCTCCTGTTCACCACTTGGCCGAAACCCGCGCTCTTCGATTGCTGGCCCAGCGCTCTCTGCCTTCGCCTCATCCTCTACATTTGCAGGATTGGTTCCAAGTTCCTCATTGGATGAGTTTGCTACCTTGAAAGCATCGGTCAAAGGTGTGAGAGGCTGTTCGAGTTCTTGTTCCTCAGTAATGGAGTCAAGAGAAGGAGACACGTTAGCAAGTATAGAGGGCGACGGATCTGACAGGTCAGTTCGCGCAGAGTGACGACCAACGGGAGATGGCGGATTACCGTCGGCCGAGGAATCATCAGCGGGCAATCGGCGCTCCAAACTTCTAAGTTCCGCAAGAATCCCGGCCTTTGTGGTTGGAAATTGCTTCAACGAAGGATCATTGTAATCAATCTCGTCGTCTGCGATCATTTTCGGTGGTGTGGGGGTCCTTGGATTTGAGATAGGGCTAGGGTTCTGATTGAATGTTTTCACCACTTTGTCTTTCGGTCCTGGACACTCGTGGGGGAAAAGTGGTACCTTCTCCTCCCATGGTGTACTTGCTCCTGAATCCATCTCAGCCTCGTCATAATCATATTTCGAGGCGTGGGAGACCAAGCCCTGGCCCGACTAAATTTGGTCAGCTTCTCCCAGAAAATGTTGGAGATGTGAGTACAGAGCAAGACTTACCACCTGCTCTTCATCGAGATTGGCTGCAACATCAGCTACTTCCGCTGCTGTCTCTGCTACTTCTGGAATCGGAGTGCTAGACATGCGCCTGAACCCGATACGGCCAGCGTCCTCGTCGGAGATGGGTGGTGTAGGTTGATCTCGGTCCAGGGTTGCTGCTGAATCGGCGACCTCTGCGGCTACACCGGCGAGCTCAGGAGTATGTGTTTCGCCTCGAACAACTACAGTGTCTGGCTCAGCATCTGCAGCACGCAGATGATACGCATCCCTTTGTCCCACCGTCGAGCTCGCGCCGAAATCGTCGCCATGTCGCGGTTCTGAGTCCACTTTTTCCACAACCAAAGCAGGCGCGGAAGATTTGTCTCCTGTTGCTGCCTCTCCCGAATTTTCCTCGGTGGGCTCGTTTGCCTTCTTCATTGTTTCTGTGGGTAGGGAGGCCCTTTCTTCGGTCCGCGGGCCAGTATAAGGATTTATAGCTTCTTCGTGGTTGGCTTTCTTCGTTTCTACAACAGGCTCATTACGAGTAGGAACAGCAAGAAGGTTGTTTCGATTTCCAACATTGTCGGTAACTGTACACATATACACAAGAAATCATTAGCCGCTATGTATGTGTTGTGGAATGGGGTCACGTCATGCGTGGCATTCGATTGTGAAATGGACTTTCTCTGTGCTGCTCTGTTGCACGTACCTGTGGGGGCATCTTCATTCAATATCCACCAGTCGCCCTCTCCAATGCGAAACTTGTACTGATACTCAACACCTTCCTCGACTTGTACGTCCTTGTGGTATTCGTACTCAGTGTCTTCATGGGCAGTATACTCCATCTCCTGCGGCTGCCATGCTGGTTCGGAGAAAGACCCAGCGAGGTAGATGGGGGGCAGCGTGCCGGGTTTGGAATATCTGACGGTCACAGAGACGTTTCCGGTTCTGGGTGCCATAACCAAGAGAGATATCTGGGTAACGGATCAGAAGCCTACTTGCGACGTAGACACGGCACAGAGCTTGGGTGCGGGATGAGAGGTGATGGGTGGTATTGAGATATGGGGAAGGAAGGGGGAGATTCAAAGAGTGTTGTACAATAAGGTGCAGTAAGGTGCAGTGCAGAGCAAAGAGAGATAGAGGAAGGTAAGAGCAACCTTTGATCTATGCAGGGAAGGTAATCAGTAATATGCACCAAGTCAAATCAGGGGAAGGAGAAGGGGAAGCAATAACAGCGACACCACTGCAGTTCAATTGATTGAATTCAATTCAATGTTGGATTGCATTGCGTTGATTCTCCGGAGAGCCGGCTGTAATACATAGGTACATACCTAGGTAGGTATACAGGTGCCACCAGAAACGGTAGAATATAGCAAAGCAGTAGTACTCATAGAATGGGAAGATTTAAGTAGGTAGGTAGGTAGGTAGGTAGGTAGGTACTACACACACGGTAATTAGGTGTACTGGTAGTACGAGTACGAGTCTTATTTGCTGCAACCAACGTCCCTCCTGCCTGCCTGTCTACTCACCAGGTATGATGTCAGGGATTGCATTCCTTGTTTACCTGGCCTGGGTAGGTATAACACGACAGGGCTGGTGACAAGGCTACCGTACCCCTTCTAGCAGAAGAAGCTGTCGGTATCAACAATGGAAGTGATGCGACAGACCACTGGCAGTGCAGAATGATGGTGTTGAAGTTTAGTCTTACGATTCCCTTCCCTTCCCTTGACACATGCACATTGCCTAGACCTCGACGGTAGAATCAAGTATGCATGGCATGCATGCTCAAATCCCAATGCCAATCAGGTTTTCTGTTCGGATAAGTGCCCGGCCCGCTCTACATACCCCGCTCTGCTGCCCTGCCCTGCCCCTGTATTATTCTAGTCTAGAACCCCACCCACTACGAGCAACCCTATTTCAACACCACCACTCGGCTTCTCACAATGTGCTACTTTGAGTATAACACAATACCTATATTAGGTACCTATACAGGTCTTAACATTCAATTATAGCATTCTATAGCTATCTCGTCGGGTACTACTATGTGCAAGCATGTATGATATAATGTCGGCTGGTAAAGTCTTTTTAAATATAAAGTTATACTTCTTATTTACTTTATTAATTCTATGGCTTTGGTTTTAATATTATATAATCAGGCATTTTCATTAGCCTGTTTCTACTCTCTTTTACCGTTTGCCTATATCTGCACTTTCTTTTATAAAAGGAATATAAATGTTTAGAATTTACTTTAATAGTTAAAGCTTTTTATTATAGCAACTTTTTTCGATTTTCACGAATTCACCTATAACTTTTGCTACAACCGTCCAAATCAAACGATCGCGCTAGCATATTAACCGCCTTAATCTCAGCTTTCTTTTAAGCCTACCCTTATAGTTCTTACTAGGAAAATAAGTAAATGCAGGTTATCTGAAGGGTTTTTAACTCTAAAGGCTTTCTAACTGCCTCTCTCCCTCTCCTCCTCTCCCTCTACCCTTCCACCCCTACGGTCTATAGCGGCAGAAGATAATAATATAGTAATAGATACTATATATAATATATT